CATGGTCTTGAGAAATGAGCTGAGCCAAGAGGAAGCCTGCAAACACTTGGTGAGCCCTCCCTGGTTGCACAGCCAGCAACCTTCCCCATCAGAAGCAGCGGCAGGATGCGGAAAAGGGGCCCTGTGAATGGGCTCGTGAGCTGCCATTCCTGGCGACCAACCCTCTTCTCCTCTTGCTGCTGGCAGTGACACAAAAGGGAAAGGGGCACTGCTGGCACGGCATTTGGGGATTGTTTCCTGGCGAGCACCCTGTGAAGGCTGGGCAGGCTTGCCAGCACCAGGACGGGCTGTGCAAAGTGGAGTGGAATCTGGGAAGCCAAGCCCAAGGGATCTAATGGATGCCCATCCCCAAACAGGTTCCTTGCACATCCCTAGATGCTTTAGATGGTGCCTCAAGGACAGCAACAGCCAGTGGGGTCAGTGACGACTCCATCCCTGAAGCTTCCCCTCAAAGGAGCTATCCATGGTGCTGAACTCCAATCCCAAAACAGCTTCACCACCATGCAGCCTCCTGGATTAAGGATGCATGAAGAGTGTGTTTCAGGGTGATGATCTGTTGGATTCCCGGGCTGGGCCCCTCAGACTCGGGTCTGCTTTGTTGCAGCCCCAAGCACAAGTTCTTGGCAAGCGCGCAGAGTTTTCCCACGGAGTTTGTCAGGAAGCGAGCCCCATGCGACTGCTGCTCCAGCAGCATTTTTCTTCCATGGCAGTCTTTGTGCTGTTTGTAATGAGAGGGGGTCCATGAATAATAGAGGGATGGATTCTGCCCATCTGGGGGAATCGTAGGCAGTTAAAACAGTGCCATGGGAGGTTTGAATGGCCAGAAAAATCAGATTCAAGAGAAGAACCTGAAAAATCAGATTCAAAGGAGAGAGAAAAATAAGGGGGTATTTCAAAGGTGGGCCCATGGGGAGTATCTACATTGGGCCCTACCAGGCCACTTGCAATTGCCCAAACATGCCACATGGTGGTGCTGACTCCACACATGGCACACTGAGCACCATTGGAAAGCTGCTGCTTACTGGACCCAGTAAAGATCGTTCATGCGATTTCTTTGTGCCTGAAGTATTTTCCAGAGGACCTGGGAAACCTTCAGTTTTTTGCAGTAGGTATGACTTGGCCCTCAGACAAGAGACACAGTGACCACAGGCATTGTTCAGCAGGCTCTTTAGGGTCTGGCTATAAAGTGGTAACCAGCCTAAGATCATACTCTCAGAACTGGCACTCAAGTCCAGCCCAAATTACTCTCCTCTGTTTGATCTGTTTTAACAGGGTTGCGCTAATATGGTTGAGGTCGTTCCATTTCACATGGAGGGATATCTGCATTTCAGTATTTTCCCACGTTCTTGCTAAAGATAATCACCTGCAAATCTTTAATGACCACTTTGAAATTCCTAAGCTTGCCTCAGGATTATATTTACAATGAACATCTATGTATTATTTTTACTGAGGAACTTATGGAATAGAAAATGTTCCACAGAAATATAGGCTGGGGGAGCTTCCACCCCATGTCACTGGCTATAACAACAAACAGAATGGCTGTGTGTGGAAGTGTTCTACTTCTGATAAGAGGAATAATGGGGCAAACAGCAGTGGGGGATCATTTTTGACTCCATGCCTTATGCTGCCTACAGCAGATATTTTGACTGATTTAGTGGTGGAGTCACTGTGCTCTCCAAAGAGTCTCATTTTGCTTAACTGGTTTCTTAGGATTTTGTGGGGGTTAATGGAAATGGGATTCTAAGTGGGAACTGCAGCAGTGCATGACCTTCCTTGGTCATGGTGGGCAACTTGTAGCCCTCCAGAAGTGTTGGCCTGCAAGCCCTTCAGCCCTAGCTAGTCTAGTTGATGGTGATCAGGAGCTGTAGCCAAAACATCTGCAGCACCTCAAGTTGCCTGGCACTGTTCTAAAGTGGAAGGATGGTTAGCTGGGACCTTGAACAGATCCTCTCTTTGCAGATCCACTGTGGTGTTTTGTCTTATTCCTACCGTGATGCATCGGGGGTGGAAATGGGGATCTGTCCCTGGGCTGTGAAGTCCATTTCCTCATCCCTGATGTGGTAAGCAAGGTATGAAAGAACACAGGGAAAGTCATGATGGATCAGACCAATCGTACATCTGGTCCAGCATTCCATTCACACCGTCCACAGGATCCTTCATGTAGGATGGGTGCAAGACCTTTTTATTTAAAAGTTATTTTAACTGTTAATTTATTATTATTGTATTTATAGATTTTAATATATAGCTGAGATGATACCAGTTTTTAAATTATTGATTGTATTTTTATGGATGTTGTGAGCCGCCCCGAGGCTTTGTTGCGATGGGGGCAGCATAGAAATGTTTTAAATAAATAAATAAATAAATAAATAAATAAATAAATAAATAAGGCCTCTGCCTTCCCAAGTTCCTCAGCCACTGGTGGATACAGGCATGGCATGTCTCCTTACGGAAGTAACACACAGCCAGCAAGGCTAGTAGCCACTGAAAGTCTCCTCCTGCATGAATTTCTCCAATCTCCTTTTAAAGCCACCCAAATTGGTGGGTATGAAGAAGTCCTTCCTTTTATCTGTCCAAGACCTCCAACCGATCAGCTTCACGGGATGACTCTTGCTCTCCACTTTCCCCACACCATGCATGATTCTGAACACCTCTACCATGGGTAGAGGTGCTTTGCAGGCCAGATTAGGGAGCTGCCCAGGATGAAGTCAGCCAGGGTGCTGGTGCTTCCCTGTGCCTATAACATGTGAACAGCACACGTAAACTCTTGAATTCGCTCTTTTCTTCTGCCAGCTCGGACTTTACATGTTTATTTTCCATTCAACAGCAAACACATGTTTGCGTAATGTGTTCAGTGCTCCCACAGCATTGTTAATGCTTCATTTGTCTCATATGTGTATGCGTGTTCTGCAAAGCTCATTGTTCCTTCCAACGTAATGATACTCCCTCTTCTTTCTTGATGGTCCTATTTTGGCTCCTTGTTGACGTTCACCACTGGAATTGGCCATTAGATGGAGTGAAGCGAAACCAAAATGCTTTTGCTGAGTGAAAAAGGACAACTCCCGAAAGACCTTGGACCTGTTCCAACCTAAAGGTTAAGATGTGGTTAATGTGTCACTCTACTGAGATGTGCATAGAGGAATCAGATTCAAGTTGTTCAATTATGTGGCTTGAGCTGATTGAGTTGAGGTTAACTAGTACAGCATTTTCAGTTCCTGGTGATCTGAATTTTCCAGCATCTGCTCCCCCCACCCCTCCACACACACCTTGCAATTGGACCATCTATAAAAGCTTTAAACAAACAAACAAACAAACAAACAGACTTACAGCTTTTGTCTGGAACAAATGTGGGCTTATAGGGTACTGCTTCAAGTGCTTCCAGTCTTTAGTTTCTACTCTGAGGCTGCCTTAAATGCAACACCCCATGGTCAAATCCTCCAGCCTCAGCCTGGTACTTTGTTGTTTCCCCACAACTCCTTACTTTCCCCCTTCTCCCATGCAGTCTGGACCACCTTCTTGGCAAGTGTTGCCAAGTCATAGAATAATAGAAAAGTGAAGTTGGAAGGGGCCACGAAGGCCATCAGGCCCAATCTCCTGCAGGACACCAGGTTACTCCACCCCACTCCGTCTGACAGAAACCCTTTGAATGAGAGCCCTCCAAAATGTCCTTCTGAGTGCAAGGCTGTGGCTTCCTTGATGGAGTCCATCTATCTCTTGTTTGGTCTTCCTCTTCTTCTTCTACCTTCAGCTTTTCCTGGTGGGATTGTCTTCTTCTTCAGGGAGTTTTGCCTTGTCAAGATGTGCCCAAAGGACGATCTCCTCTGTTTTGTCATTTTCACTTCAAGAGAAAGTTCTGGCTTGATGGTTGCTCCTCACCTGATGAAACGTTCTGGAGAAGTTGTTGCTCCCTATTTAATGACATCGTGAATGGCCATAACAACAGCATTGCCCAACGGAGGATTCTGGGGTTTTAATTCATTTGTTACACACATCCTAGACCTTTCAGATTGGATCAGCTGATGACTATTTACATGTAAATTATTTTAATAGAAACCCCAAACAGCTAACATGGCTGTTTTGCACAGAGAAGGAAAATGCCAGTAAACAGCAAAAAAGGTCATCATTTGCCTAAAAAGCCATCTCCTCTCTTTCCTTCTACCGCAGGATGGCAGGAGGGTTAACGCAGTGTGCTTGACCTGCCTAGGACAGACTTTTGCTTAATTAATATTAACAAGCTGCCTTAAGAGTTTTCTCCTGCCAGCTTTAGGCTGCCTTTTCCTTCCTTTTTGCAAGTCTGAATCACCAGGCTGGAAGTAAGCAAACATGACCCCGCACAAAGCTGGGTGGTGAGGTGTGCCCCAGGCCTGGCAGGAGGAAGTGCTCTGGGGCTAATGCGTAAGCGTGCGTTTCTTATCAGAGATCAGTTCCTAAAGGGCGCTGGAATGACATAGATACCGCTGGTGTAGTTGTTACTTGTAACCATGACATCATGGCTATAAAAATAAACTGGAGACACGCTTTCTCTACTCCACTTCAGGAGTATATCAGCAAGAACACCCTGTCACCATTATGAGAATTCCGAAACAGCGTGCCATAATCCCCTCTTCTTTTTGTTAATACGGAGCTTTTCCTAGCTATTGAAGCATCAGCTGTCAAGAATTACCTCTCCCATATTTTTGACCCATTTGCCTGCAACATCACCCAAGTGGTCCCTCCTATTTTTCAGGCCTTCATCCAGCTGCTCTCCTATTCCATGCTTCCTGCAAAACACCTGTTGATCGGTGATACAACAAGCTGCTATTTTTGTGGTCATTAAGGGAAAGCGATCGGAGCATGAATGAGAAGGCAGGCACTAAGAAGACGGATCGGGTCTTTTGCCTCAGATTGTTTTGAGAAGTGCTGAGGCTGTCATTTTGCTGGCTTTGACAGAACATCTACATTTTCCTTTTACAGTTGTGTCCTTTGGTGCGCGGCACTGGTGGAGCTTTGTTTACCAGTCTGTCATGCTGCAGCAAATTCTGCGGGATATGTACATTGATCCGGAGTTACTGGCCGAACTGAATGAAGAACAGAAACAAATCCTCTTCTACAAGATGAGGGAAGAGCAGGTCAGGAGGTGGAAGCAGAGAGAGGAGAAAAGTCAAGAAGAAGAAACTGTGCTGAAGAGAACTGCAAAACTCAAGCAGGGTAAGTTTTGGAAGCCTTTTGGGCATCACTGCTCACTTCTACAGGATTTGCTAATGTGCAAACTTCTGACTACATTCTTCATGTGGTTTACTTTGGTAACTGCTCCATAAATCCCAGAGGAGGTAGAAACTGGCTTGTCCTGGGCAGCCTTCAACGTAGGCTCCCTAATTTTAGGCCTAGGTCTCTGGCGAGTCACAGTGGCACTATTCCAAAGAATATGAGAATGGGAATTAAGGTGGCTGTAAGCAATTTCTCTTGGCTCACTGGCCTAACCGTGACTCCCTCCCTCCCACCACTTGAGTGTGATGCTAGTTATAAAACCAGGGGACCACAAACCGAGGTGGCTGCTGTGGAATGACCACATGACCCCTGCAATGCCAGGCTGGAGAGGTGCTGCAGTGGGGGTGGATGTGAGTCCCCTTCCCTTGCTTGAAAGGGGTCACAAATGCCGTGGCTTCATCCAGGACATGCCTAGGCATCCCCCCATGGACATGCTGTCTTCACCTTGCAGGAAATAGAGCACACGCTATGAAATTATCCAGTGCTTTAGAATTGTGGGGAAAGAAGCAGGGACAGGCAGGATAGGTGTGGTGATGAAGCTCAGAGGGGCATTTTGCAGGAAGGTGCTGGTAGGAGTGAGTCCCCGGCTGCCCAGGGGCTCTGATTTGCACTGAGGTTTGGGTGGCCATGGCAGAAAAGCGGAGATGGTCCTGGCCATGGTCGGCCACTGGGCCTGCTCCTGGCCCCCTTCCCTCCAACCCAGGTTCTAGTCACTCTGAAGCTCACTGGGTGACTTTGGTCCAGTCACCCTCAGGCTAGCCTACCTCACGGGGTTGTTGCTGCTGCTGCGAGGATAAACGGAGTGGAAAAAGGCTATGTAAGCCACCCTGGATTCCTTGCCAAAGGAAGAAGAAAGCAGGGTATAATTGCAATGTCATGACCATCTTTTCTGAGAAGATCTGTAGGAATTTTGCATGTTGCTCAGCTGGGGCCCTCTGCAGATTGCCAGGGTGGGGGCACGGTGTTAGCAGCACAGCTCTGCTCCGTGTACCAAAACAACATTAAAAGGATGAAGATTATCTTGTGCTGAGGAGGAAAGTATTGCACCCTAACACCGCGAAATGTAACTGCAACATTTTCATATAGTAATTTGTCACCCTTTTGACAGCTGCATTTCCATATATAAATTATACATTAAACTGATTCTGCTTTTTAGTGCACAGAATTGTTTTCCGGATAATTAATTTTCTGGTTTACAAAGAATGATGAAAAAGAGGAGAAAATGATCACAAGAAACTCCGCACTGCCTGTCTTTCTGTCTCTGGATCCACGCGGGTCACCTGAGCTCAATATTTTATGACAGTTTGCACCTTGATTTTTGCTGCAGGGGTGTTTTGCATGTGAAAAATCTCAGGAGAGAGTGACTAGAAAAAAGCCTTTATCCTGCAAAAAAGAAGAGGGTAATTTTAAAAAAAATCCCTGTAGTCAGCAAGAGGAACTCTGAACTGAGTCATTTCAGCGGAGGCCACAGTCTGATTGCCAAAGTCGCCAGAGGCAGGAATGGTTGGGCATTTGCTGAGAGCTTCAGGGGGCTGCTGGCAACAGATCTGCTTCCTCCTTCATCATCACAACCGGCTTGTTCCCACCATTCCCCCTGGCTCAAGCTTCAGGGATCGTGAGGAGGAGGAGGAGGAGTGGTGGAGGCCACAGCTAGATACTCGCTGGCTGTGCCTGCCAACAGCAAGGGATGGCTGGGATGAGGGCAGCGATAAGGACCGGCAGGAGCTGGTGGCAATGGGAGTGAAGAGTTGACTTGCGGGCGGCAGGATCCACCGATGGGACTTGCCTAGACCCTCCAGAACTTGGAGCTGGAAGGACTGCTATCTCAGCTCTGGGTTGCAGAGGAAGCCTCATGGTAATGTGGTGTAGTGGTTGGAGTAGGGGTAAGGAAATGTAGGTTCTGACCCTTCTTCAGCCAGGAAACTGACTTTCTGTATTCAGGTCAGTCACAGCTTTGTGAAGATCAGAGGTGGTGATGGGGTAGGGAGAACTGTGTGTATTTATTAATTTACCACTTATACTTTCTAGGCTATTCATGCTTTCCCAAAAGGCTTGCAAAACCAACAAAACCACACAGTACAAAAGTAAAAAATGCAGCAATAATAAGTGCCAGCACATTCGAGCCAGCCCAGTAAATGGTCAAATGAGAACTCCTTGGGGGATACAAATCAAATTTGAAATATCTCAGATATCTTGGTGACTACCAAGAGGCTTTGGAAGGTCACAGGGGTCATGCCTTTAATTATTTTATGATGTGTATCAGAGCCATTGCAGAGGAAGATTCACCGACAGGATGTTCAAGGGCACCTCTCTCCTAGTGCTTGTCCGTATGGCAGATTTTAGCCCATTTCATACATATTTAATTGTCCCAGCAATTAATCTAGGTATCTTGGGAACTGTAGTTTATTGGACTGGAGATCTCTCATGAGGTTGAGAAAGTAAATTTATGACTGAGTTGAATTTTGATTTGGGAATTCCAGAAATGTTTCTCTCACAGTGCAATCCTAGGTATGTTTACTCAGAAGTAAGTCCCATTACATCCAGTGGTGTAGTTGTTAAGAGTGTTGGGACTCAGGTGATCTGGGTTGCAGTCCCCATGGGTGACTTTGGGCCAGTCACAAACTCTCAGCCTCATAGGGGTGTTGTTGTGAGGAGAAAATGAAGAGGGAGAAAACACAGGAACAGAGTGAGTCAGAAGGGGGTTCCTGGGCCATCTAGTCTGACCCCCAGCTCCAGCCAGCTCCACTCATGCCATGCCTACCATGTGCATGTCCAGCCTATCCTTAAACACCCTCACTGATGGGGCTTCAGCCACCTCCCATGGAAGCCCATTCCACACCCTCGGGGTCCTAACCCTCAGGAAGTACTTCCTGGCATCCACCCGGAATCTTGGTTCCCTGAGCTTTGCTCCATTGGAATGTGTCCTGCCCTCCACTGCAGGGGAAAAAAGATCATGACCCACCTCTGTGTGGCAACCCCTCACGTGCCTGTACTTTGCTAACAGGTCCCCTCTGAGTGTCCCCCCCTCAAGGCCGAAAAGATCCCCTCATTCTCTCCTCATATGGCTCCCCCTGCAATCCAGCCACCATCCCAGCGGCCCTTTGCTGCACTGATTCCAACTGTGTAAGTTTCCTTGGGTTCCTTCCTGGAGAAATTAATTTCAAAGCCTTGAATTTAGAACAGTTGAGCAGGGCTGTCCAGGACCAGGCATTTTGGAGGACTTTCATTCATAAAGCTGAAGATGACTTGATGGTGCACAACAACATACATGTAATGCAGTGTGGAGATACTAATGATAATGATGAAGGGACTTAATCCCAAAAAACCCTGCTCCATGCTGTGCTGGAGTTTCTCAAGCACACCCGCCTCATCTCAGCTCATAACCTTGAGCCTAACACGGGGCGGTTGCTCATCAAGATAATTTTTTCTGCTCTCAAAAGAATGTCGTTGATGAGAGCACAATGCATGCCTCAATCAAGCAAGCTTCAACAACGAGCGATCGAATCTTGTTGCTGGGCCGGGGCAGGGCGAGGTGGGGCGGTGAGAGCTCACGGAGAGGCACTGGCTGTATTTACTTTCTTCCAAGCTTGGCACTGCCACGTCACGGACACAGAACATTGCACAAAGTGCAAACAGCCTTCACCCAGCCCTGAAGAAGAGGGGCTTCAGTTCACTGTACAGAATAACCAACAGTGCCTGGGTGCTTTCCGAGTGCTACTGACAGGAGACAGCCGAGCCCTTGATGGCAGTGGTAGGAATGGGCCCACAGTTCTTTTAGGGTGATAGCTCAAAGCTGCAACACAGAGCACAGAACCTAGTGATGCTAGCCTGGTGAAGGCAGAAGGCAGACCAATTAGCCAAGATGTTTTTCATGCTAGGCCACTCCAATGTCTTTGTGCTGCCTGCCAATGAAAGCCCCTGGGTGCGCAGTCCTGGACTGCTTCCAGTCGTCTTTCAGAAGCCATGTCTCCAAACTGGGACCCCAGTATAAGGCATGTGTGTGCTTGGGCAATCTGCCTACTCGAGCTAGAACTTCCAGTTTCTTTCTCCTATCCATGAAACTAGAGTAACTTTACTCCTTGCTCCTTGGGTTCTGTCTTTTGTAAATGCTGCTTTTTACCTAAAAGCTAAAAGATTAAGTGAGATCTGGAGTAACTTATGCATCTTTCCTTGGGGTTTTCTACCATCAGGACACTGCAGATAATTTGCAGTTTTGAATGGGAGCTTAGGTAATGATCCACAGACATTTCGGAGTTTGCAAGAAAGCATCCATGTGCTTTCTTTGCTCTGCATTTGACATAATGAATGGATGTATTTAGGGTGGCTGCTTAGGCACATCAGGAGAAGAGGAAACACACCTCAGCTAAAAAGAGGGTAAGCGATCTGGGAAATGTTGGAAGATACCTGGATGCAAATGTGGGAGGAGTGTAACTGATGTGTCATACTCAGAACATCTCACCATAGTGGAAAGAACCAGAAAAAAGAAAACAAATGCATCGATACAAAGTGGGGAATATGTGGCTCAACAGAACAGGAAAAAAAAATATCTCAGAGTAATTGTGGACAGTAGGCTAAACATGAGCCAACAATGCAATGCAGCCGCCAAAAGGACAAATGATATTTTGGGGTGCATTAACAGAAGTATTACTTCCAAATCATGAGAAGTAGTAGTTCCTCTATAGTCCTTACTAGTCAGACCTCACTTGGAATACTGTGTCAAGTTCTGGGCACCAAGTTTAAGAAAGATGCAAGAAAATTAGAAAGGGTTCAGACGAGGGCAACAAAAATGATCCAAGTTTTGGAAACACTACCCTATAAGGAAAGACTGAGAGAACCGGGCATGTTCAGCCATGAGAAGAGAAGACTGAGGGGGACATGATCTCCCTCTATAAGTACCTCAAAGGGTGTCACAAAGAGGAAGGTCAAGATCTATTCTTGCT